CGGCATTGCGATGTTTTCGAATTGACAGCTTCTTTTTGCTCTATGATATGCTATTAAATCAGTTGATGGGTTAGAAATTTGTCCTCATATACTGTGGGTAAAGAAATTAAGACTTTTTAGTTTAAATTTCGCGTGAAAACGCCTTCATCGAAATATTTGTTTCTAGGTTGACATGACTCTGATTGACTTCTGTGCCAAATATCACAACAAAATAATTCAAAGTATTTGAGGCACTAAAGGGAAATTCTTTGTTGTTTTCTATGTCTGAATTTACTGAACAAAGAAGTGCGCTAATACACCATTTCATATTGCATTGGTTATTGGTGATAATTTCGCCACATTAAGAACTAATATCGCTTTCATTCGCTTGATTTAACTTCGTGTAACTTCCGGCTATTCAGAAAATTCACATGACCACTCCAAAGACACCGCTTTGACTCAATTGAGGATATAAAAGCTGAATCTAAGGGGCTCTGATGGCCATCACCACGAAGGATTTTTTCAAGCGCTATGATGACTGGTAAATTCGTTGGCATAAGTGTTTTGCAACAGGAGGGGCTTACTTTGAAGGAGATGAAATTGACAAAATTCAGCTTTCAATTTGATCACAGTAGTATATGAATTTGTTTTTATCAATTGCATACTATATGTGCTTGTTTATATGTATATATTTTTATGTATAATATTTACCCAACGCTTTCGTCTAATCGCACCAATTGTTTTTTTCCACTATGGCCTGGGAGTCCCCTTCGTTATTATACTAACTACATTAGTTGAGTTTTTTTCAATGGACACAATCAAGTACATTAGTATATGTACATAAATACTTAAGGAATATGTGTATATATGTTAGTATACTCGTAATAATAAAAAATATGTAAATATTTGATGGTAATTAAATTTATTGCTCTTTTTTTGCTTAAACGCAAACGTAATCAAGAAAAATCTTTTGCATTTGACAAGATATCTGCACGAAATTTCGCACGCGGTATTGTCCAAGGCAAATGTACAATCTCCAAAGAAAKKGTTCAGATCGGATTACTATARYATATAGCTGCCACACAAATTGATCGGTCAAAATACARTCSTTGTATGAAAAASTTTTGCATTTGACAAGATATCTGCACGAAATTTCGCACGCGGTATTGTCCAAGGCAAATGTACAATCTCCAAAGAAATTGTTCAGATCGTACTACTATAGCATATAGCTGCCATACAAACTGATCGGTCAAAATACAGTCGTTGTATGAAAAACTTT